GAGAAAAGATAATTGTCTAACGGTCATCGGTGCAAGACTGGATAACATCACAGATGATAAGAAGTGGAACGAGATGGACGAAAATGCTATTATAAATCTCCATCGGGTATTAGCAGACGGGGTGCTGTCAAGCATAGAGGAGAAGAAGATAGCAAAGGAGATCTGAGATACTCTAACAAAACTATATGAGGCAAAATCCCTGCACAACAAAATCTTCTTAAAAATGAGACTTTACACTCTGAGGATGGCGGAATCTACATCGATGACCGATTCTTAAAAATGAGACTTTACACTCTGAGGATGGCGGAATCTACATCGATGACCGACCACATCAACACCCTAAACACACTTGAGACTTTACACTCTGAGGATGGCGGAATCTACATCGATGACCGACCACATCAACACCCTAAACACACTTTTCTCCCAACTCATAATGTTAGGGCATACAATCGGTGTGAATGAACGTACATAACTTCTACTTCAGAGTCTACTTGACTCGTATGATCAACTCATCATCAACCTGACAAACAACATCCTTACGAACAATCTAGTCTTTGAGGACGTTGCAACTACTGTTCCGGAGGAAAAAAATCGGCGCAAGAATAAGGAGGACAGACAAACAAGTTCACAACAAGCAGATGCATTAACGGTGACGAGAGGAAGATCAATGGAACACGACTCCAGTGGGAGTCATACCCATGATAGATCAAAATTACGAAGTAAGAAGAATATCAAATGCTATAACTGTGGCAAAAGAGGGTACGTCAAATCAGAGTGTTGGCATAATAATAAGAGTGGTGATAAAAAGTCTTCAGAACCATCAACATCTCAAGGATGCATTGTCAACACATCAGACGATAGTGAAATTTTATACAGTGAAGCAAACACTGTTGATAAAGGCAGAAAGAGATTTGTTGATGTCTGGTTTCTGGATTCAGCAGCCTCCTGGCACATGACCTCCCGGAGAGAATGGTTTCACAAATATGAATTTATCTCAGGAGGATATGTATTCATGGGGAATGATCATGCCTTGGAGATTTATGATATTGATACTGTCAAAATCAAAATGTTTGATGGTACAATATGTACTATTCAAGATGTGCGACATGGTGAAGGGCCTGAAGAAGAATATGTTGTCTTTAGGATAATTAGATGAGCTCGAGTGCAAGACCCATATAGCAAATAGGATCATGAAGATTGTTAGAGAGGTGCTTGTAGTGATAAAAGGAGAAAAGATAGTTGCAAATTTATAAATGCTCAAGGAAGAAACGTGTTCAAGGGAGAGACTCTGTAGGAAGCTGATTCATGTGTGACATCAACCAGTCATGGAGAAGAACAAACCATGATGTGGCATCGCAAACTAGGCAACATGTTAGAACGGGACTTGAAGATTCTCTCCGATCAGAAGCTGCTACTTCTGGGACTTAATTCGGTAAATCTTCCCTTTTGCGAGCATTGTGTTACAAGTAAGCAACATCGATTGAAGTTCAACACATCGAGTTCTAAATACAAGCTATTCTGGAACTGGTTCATTCTGATGTATGACAAGCACCAGTTATATCCTTAGGAGGAGCAACATATTTTGTATCCTTTATTGATGATTATTCCAGGAGATGTTGGGTGTATCCTATCAAGAAGAAGGCGAATGTGTTCTTAGTCTTTAAAGCCTACAAAGTGCGAGTAGAGTTTGAATCTGAAAGAAGATAAAATGCTTGAGGTCAGATAATGGAGGAAAATACACAGACGGTGAATTTCTTACATTCTGCAAGAAAGAAGGCATCGAAAGACAATCCAGTACTGCTTATACTCCTCAACAAAATGGAGTGGCGGAGCGGATGAATAGAACTCTGTTGGAAAGAACAAGAGCTATGTTGGAAAGAACAAGAGCTATGTTGGCAACCGTAAATATGTATAAAGTCTTCTGGGCGGAAGCAGTAAAAACTGTCTGTTATGTGGTGAATCAATCTCCTTCAACTGCAATACAATTGAAGACGCCGATGGAGTTGTGGACTGGCAAGCCAGCTGATTATTCAAACCTCCATATATTTGGAAGTCCAGTGTACGTTAAGTACAATGCCCAAGAAATTACAAAGATGGATTCAAAATCCAGAAAATGCATATTCTTAGGATATGCTGATGGAGTAAAGGGGTATCACTTGTAGGATCCCACTACCTGTAAGGTTATCATCAGCAGAGATGTTATCTTTGTAGAGAATCAACTACAAAGTGAAGAAAAAGAAATCAGTTCGAGAAAGGACTCAGAGACAGTAGTTGTTCTGGTAGAAAATAATCCAAATTCTTCTGAAACAACATCGGAGCATGATTTACAAGAACCAGTCGAGTTCGAGGCTCCAGAAGTTCTAAGGTCAACTCGTGAGAGAAGACCACTGACTTAGCGCTCATAATATATTACGGAGAATAATGTTGCATACTTTCGTCTAATAGAGGATGGAGAGCCATCAACTTTTAATGAATCTATAAATAGCACAGATGCATCTTTGTGAATGTCAGCAATGCAGGAAGAAGTTGAAGCTCTCCATAAGAACAAGACTTGTGTACTTGTGTCACTGCCACAAGGAAGAAAGACCATTAGAAATAAATGGGTCTATAAGATCAAGCGAAATGGCGATGATCAAGTGGAGCAATATCGTGCTAGATTGGTGATAAAAGGATACACTCACAAAGAAGGTATTGAATTTAGCGAAATATTTTCTCTTATAGTTCGACTTACAACAGTCCGAATAGTCCTGCCTATGAGCACTATATTTGACTTATATTTAGAGCAGCAAGATGTGAAAATAACATTTCTTCATGAAGATCTTGAAGAAGAAATTTACATGCTACAACCGGAAGGTTTTGAAGAAAAAGAAATAGAGAATTTGGTTTGCAGATTGAACAAATCTCTGTGCGGTCTAAAGCAGGCGTCGAGTTGTTGGTACAAGAGATTTGATTCATTCATCATGAGCCTTAGATGCAACAGACTTAATTCAGACCATTGTGCATATTTCAAGAGGTTTGATAAAAATAACTGTCATCTTATTATTGTATGTTGACGACATGTTGGTTGCAGGCCCCAATAAAGATCATATCAAAGAATTAAAGGCTCAATTGGCTAGGGAATTTGAAATGAAGAATTTAGGATCTGCAAAAAAGATTCTAGGTATGCAAATTCACCAAGACAGAATTAATAGGAAGATTTGACTTTCTTAGAAGAACTATTTAAAGAAAATATTGAGGCGTTTTAACATGCAAGATTGTAAGTTAATTTTTACCCCACTTCCTATTAATTACAAGTTATCTTCCTGTATGAGTCCTAGCAGTGAAGAAGAGATGATGAAGATATCTCGAATATCGTATGCATCAGCAATGAGAAGCTTAATGTTAGCTATGATTTGTACAAGACCAGACATTGCACAAGCAGTGGGAGTGGTTAGTCAATACATGACGAATTCTGGTAAAGAACATTGGAATGCTGTAAAGAATGTTCTAAGATACATTAAGGTAACCTCAAATGTTACATTATGTTATGGGGAATTTGATTTTATTATCAATGGATATGTTGATTTTGATTATGCAGGTGATCATGATAATAACAAATCCACCAAATGCTATGTGTTTGAACTTGCTGGCGGAGCTGTAAGCTGGATATCAAAATTACAGTCACTTGTGGCTACTTCAACAACAAAAGCAGAATATGTAGCAGCTATACAAGCTAGTAAAGAGGCGATGTGGTTGAAGATGATGCTAGAGGAACTCGGGCATGAACAAAAGAATATTTCTCTATTTTGTGATAGTCAGAGTGCTTTGCATTTAGCAAGAAATCCAGCCTTTCATTCAAAGACAAAACACATTCGAGTTCAGTACCACTTTGTTTGTGAGAAAGTGGAAGAATGAACAGTTGATATGCAAAAATTCACACCAAAGATAACCTAGCAGATTTTTTGACAAAAGCCGTCCATACTAACAAATTTATTTGGTGTTGATCCTCTTGTGGTCTGTCGGAGACATGAACAACATGAAGATGACAAGATAGAAAAAATAATGTAAAGATATGCTTGATACTCAATCAAATCTTCAAGTGGGAGATTGCCAGCCGCATAATGTTTGAGAAATTAAAAAAAAAGGAGTGGGCCCCATGGCTGTAAAATTCACACCGAAAGTTTGGGTTAGGCACCGAAAGAAAAAGTTTAAAAATTTTAAAGTTGTACAGTAAAATATTAATATTTTATTAGTGTATAGTATTTTTCCAAACACTATAAATAGGCCCAGAACTCTTAAGAAAAAATTCATCCCAGAAATAACTCCTTATATAGAAGAATGAGAGAGAAAAATGAAGAGAGAGAGAGAAAGTATCTCCTTATAAAGAGAGATTGTAACTCTAATGTTTCTCCTCATAGTGAATTCTTCTATCATTGCTCGTGGTTTTTACCCCAAATTCTTTAGGGGGGTTTCCACGTAAATCTGTGTGTTACTTTTTTATCTCTACTTTCACTCTATTATCGCTGCGACCCTGCTCTATTGGGCCCAGATTTCTCCCAACATTCTGGACGCCCTCGGCTCAAATGGAAGACTATCAAATGGAAGGATGTCTAACGTCACCACATATATTCTGATGGCAAGTCGGGCGATATCGGTCTTATGCTCCCTTGGCCGGCGTGGGTCAAGGGAGCTCCCCTAATTCTGTGAACCGGCATATAAATCAAGGGATTAAGGGTGATTTGAATGGCCTCGAGACTCGCAGCAGCACAGCTTGAAAGCAAAGCTTCTAGAGACAATTGATTGAAAGCTAGAAGATTCAGCTATGCCAAGCCCTTAAAACAAAAGATACAACACCGTTTCATCTTGTGGTTCAAATTTCTACAACGATCCTCAAGCAAGGCTGGGCTATTGAGGACTGCGTTTAAGTTCATCTTGAGGTAGTCAGCTTCTAGATTTTCTCTTAATTTTCAGAATATCCTTCATTTCAAGAACACCTGCTGTACACATATTCAACAATCTCAAGCACAACACCGCACAGTTGGTGTGACTTCACACCGGGTAATGAATCCATAACTATTTATTACAGAGGTCTCCTTATCTACAGTGAGGCTATGAATCTCAAAATTATGTCAAATCTTCAAACCAAGTACGCTACAAGGCTACAAAGAGCTTTTGTAAAACATGTAGTTTTCAAACCAATAACAAAGCTATCGACAACAGCACGAAAGAACGTAACTTGCAGCCATACACCTTTAGATATCACAAACACATCTCAGAGGAAAGTAGAATTGCCTCAATTTATGCATCCTCCCTTCCGAGATTGCTACTCTTTATGATATTGTACTTGCATAGAGGACATGTGGCATTGATGTAAAGCCACTTATCGACGCAGGCACAGTGGAAATGATGCCCACAGGGGAGCTCCCGAAGTTCCACCCCATCGTCGTAGGCAGAGAGGCAGATGCAACATTCCTATACACCACCCCCGCAAAATATTAGAGCAGAAACATCACGTTTTGATGCTGGGGTAAAAAAAATCTTATAGAGGAACCTCTATTTAGATTGCAAAACATATTCCACTACAAATTCTAAATCAATACTATCAACATACAACTCTATGGCAGTGAACATCAGTGCGAGCAAAATATTGTAGCCACCCAATGATCAATATTGTACTGGTGCAATCAGAATGCCACGTCACTATAACCACAGACTTTTAAGCTCGCGTTGGACACTTGTCGCAATCTCCTTCAATCCTACATGTTTTTCTCTAGAGAGTACTCTATAGTATATTTTCCCAAAGTGAAGGATAAAAAGATTTTGAGTGTCACATTTTTTTTTCTGTTCTCTTAGAAATTACTAAATGGTTAGTTTCATAGAGATATTTCTATGTGAGATTAATGGTGAGCAAAACCATTTATAACTATCAGCCTTGCATCATAGAGAATGGTAGAATGGAAGTGCGACGATGTTAAGCAATGAAGCTCGAAGAATTGCCATTTGCACCTCATGCCCATTCATAAATAGATCTAGAAACTAAACGGAGCTAGAGTTTTGAAATGCTCAAAGGAGGTTTTGTATTAGAGGAATCAACAATAAGTACATACCGCATCCTCAGCTGGAAGAGCTTGCTCATGTGGAGGATCACTACCACACTCAGTCATTATCCCACCAGATGATCTCGATACATCACCACCAAGTTTCTCATCTTCACCGGTTCTCCGGAACTTGTACTTAGGAAGTTGGCGAATGTCTTCATCTGAAGCTCCTTCCTGCTTTAGAGAGCAAAGCCAATGGCAAATGCAAAAACATATCAAGTCTAAATACAAAGGAATTCTGGATCCTGTTCTATCTATTTAATCATGGATCTCTTGTAAATATCATGATCATCAGTTGCAGAAAGTACGTGATTGGAAATCAATCAACTGTGTTATATACCACAGATATGGATGATCTAGCATGTAGGGACTAATACTATGTGATTGAGTTCTTTTGATGAATAACTCTTGAGCACTAATTGACTAGAACTTCTTTAAGTAAACCAGACAACATCAAGGAATACAACCATCTTTAAGTTTATCTGAAAAAGAATTAGACCTGTTTTTATGTGATGGTTCGCGGACTACAAAGAGTCAGTACAAAATTACTTGTAGACTAATGTAAACAAATAGTATCTTCAAATGATAGTCTGTGTTAACTAATATTTCATCTACAAAGAAAATCCAAACAATATATGTAACTTAATGGCTCAAATAGGACCAAATGAAATCCGGAGTATGTAACGGTAAAAGACTTATTAATTGTAAAAAAAATGTTTTCTAATCTATCCTACAAAAGATACATTTATGCTGCAAATTTGCTCAAATAAGTAAATCCTGCTGAGCAGCAAAATCAACAATAAAAGTTACTAAAGAGTTAATATCAAAACATAGGCATAAATAACCTGCATCTAGAGTTCAGTTGAAAAGCTTAGCCCCGTTTGGCGAAGGGTTAAGAGAAGTTATGGAGGTTTAACCCTCCTTAACAATCCAAAAGGATTAATTTGGTTGAAGGGCTAACAAATCCTTTACAAGGGTTAAACTTAGTTAACCCCTCATTTAGCGGGTTTATCAAATTCGCCTAAAGAGGAGGATTAAGAGTTACACCCTCTGAAAATAAGCAATGAAACTTTAAAAAAGAATTCATTTTAAGATATTTATGATGACTAACCTCCTTAATCCTTTTTTATTTGCCTAACACAAAAAACTTAACCCTTTATCCTAACTATCAAATTCAAACGGAATTAAATTATTTTTAACCTCTCGTGAAGAAGGGTTAACTAAGTTAGTTCTTCCTCTCCGTTCTCCTTTTTTATAAATTTCAGCTTTTGGGTGCCCATTCAAACAGCAGGATGGTTTGATAATTTTGGGGACAAAATATCTCCAGACACATAGGGTCTACTGGCCTAATAAAATATTTGGTCATGGCAGGGAATATAAGTGAAAACTCCATCATCTTACATGATCCAGAGGAATATTACTAAAATGTATTCAAAATCCATTGAACTTGAATTTTTATTGAATGCAATGCACTTGACACTTTTTTAAGCACCCTTTGGGTCAACGAAAGAAAATAAACAAAAATCAAAAGTTATAGCCCATAAAAATGGCGAAATTTGATGTTCCCGTACTTAATCCACATTAGGTTGTAACAAACTGGACAATAATCACAGGTTATAGCCACGGAAATCGCTTAAATTTAAAGTATGAGTGCTTAATTGCCATTAAGTCGAAACAAAAGAAAATGGACAAATATCATGGGTTATCGCCCATGAAAAATTGCTAATTTTCAAATACGCATAATTCATTGTCATGAGATTGAGAAGAATGAAAATGGACAGAAATCGTAGATTAACCCATGAAAATCAAGAATTTTGAAGGGTGCGTACTCGGTTTCCCTCAGGTCGAAATGAAAAAAAATGAACAAAATTTGTGGACCGTAGCTTATGAAATCGTAAATTTTGAAATACACGAACTTAGTTACCATTTGGTTGAAACGGACAAAAAATGACAAAAATCATTTGTAAGCAATGAAGATCGTGAAATTTTGAAGTACGCATACTTAATTATCATTTGCCCAAAAGAACAAAATGAACAAAAATCATGGATTATAGCCCAGAAAAATCACGAATTTTGAACTATGTGCGACTAATAGTCATTGAGTCAAAACAAACGAAAATGGTTAAAGATGATGGGTTGTACCTTACAAAGTAGCAAATTTTGAACTATATGTAATTGTCATTAGATTGAAATGAATGAAAATGAATAAAAATCATGTGTTATAATCTATGAAAACCGTAAAATTTCGAGTTGCCCATACTTAATAGCCATTGGTTAAAAGCATGAAAATTGGATAAATTCATATGTTACCTATAAAAATATTGAATTTTGAAGTACACGTGATTATCTGTTAATTGGGTCGAGATGAACGAAAATAGATAAAAATTATGGGTTTATCGCCTATAAAAAATGTGGATTTGAAACATGTTTACTTAATTGCCTTTGGGCCGAAATGAACGAAAATGAACAAATATAATAGGTTACCACCCATGAAAATAACAAAATTTAAAGTTCTTATACTTAATTGACATTCGGTCGAAACAGTAAAAATGGACACTAATCATGGACTTGTCTATGAAGATCGCGAAATTCTGAAGTAGGCATGCATGATTGCCATTGGGTTAGAACGAATGAAAATGGAACAATCATGAAATATAGCCCATAAAAATTGCGAAATTGTGAATTTTCAAATAGGCATAATTAATTGACGTTAAATCAAAACAAAAAAAATGAAAAAATTTGTGGGTTAGCCCATGTAATCATCAATTTGAATCACGTGGGTTAGCCCATGTAATTATCAATTTGAAGCGCACACACTTAATTACCATTGGATCAAAACAACCCAAAAAGGGGGGAAATCATGGGCTGTAGCATGAAGTCATGAATCCGAAATAAACGTACTTAATTGACATTGGATCGAAATGAACAAAAATGGACAAATTATAGGTTATAGTTCAAGCAAATCGTGAAATTTAAGTCCATGTATACTTAATTGTCATTTGGTTAAAAGAATGAAAATAAAAAAAAACCATGGGGTATAACTTATAAAATCATGAATATTTCAAATATTCGTAATTAAATGTCATTGGTTCAAAACGAACAAATGGACAAAAAGCGTGGGTTATAACCCATAAGAATCGTAAATTTCAATACACATACTCAATTACCTTCAGGTCGGAAAGAATGAAAATAAATAAAAATCGTGGGTTATATCCTATGAAAATTTAATGCTTTATTGACATCCCAAAATACACAAAAATGGACAAAATTATGGGTTATAATCCATGACAATTATGAAAATTTGAATTATGCATACTTGTTATTTATTCAGAAGAACGAAAATGTACAAAAATCATAGGTGCCCATGAAATTCACGTATTTAATTGTCATTGGGATGATATGAACGAATATGGACAAAGACCATGAGTTATAACCCATAAAAATTGTAAATTTAAAGTACAAATACTTAAAAGCCTTTAGGTTGAAAGGAACGAAATTAACGAAATTGAATAAAAGTTATTGGTTATAGCCCATGAAAATCGTGAAATTAAAGTTCACATACTTAATTGGCATTAATCAAAACAAAAGAAGGACAATAATTAATCGGGTCAAAACAAAAGAAAATGTGCAAAAATCATAATCATGTCCCATGAAAATCGCTAATTTTGAAGCACGTATATTTAATTACCATTGGATTGAAATGAACGAAAATTGACAAAGATCATCAGTTAGCCCATGTAAATCGAGAATTTTTAAGTCAGCTTAATTGTCATTGGGTTGAAATGAAAGAAAATAAACAAAAATTGAGAGTTGTAGTTCATGAAATCATGAATTTTGAAATACACACTTAATTGTCATTTTGTCGATACAAATAAAAATAAACAAAAATCATGTGTTATAGCGCATGAAAATTGTGAAAATTTAAAGTAAACAATACTATACTTCATTGCTATTTGGGCAAAAGAATAAAGATGAAATAAACATGGTTATGACCCATGAAAATGATGATCTGAACCACGAGTGATTAGTTATCATTAAGTTGAAACAAATGAAAATGGACAAAAATCGTGGCTTGTAGTTAATGAAGCATAATTATTCATCATTGGGTCGAAACTAATAAAAATAGATAAAATCACATATTATAATCCAAGAAAATCGTGAAATTTTAAATTATGCACACTTAATTAATTGAAAAAATGAAAAAAATCATAGGTTATGTACTATAAAAATATTGAATTTTTAAATACGTATAATTAATTATCACTTGGTTGAGACCGACGAAAATGGTCAATATTGCAAGTTATAACATATAAAAATCATGAATTTAAAGTTTGCATATTAAATTATCTTTGGGTCGAAACTAACAAAAATAGACAAAAGTTATGGGTTATAGCCCATGAAAATCACAAAATTTGAAGTTCCCTTAAGTAATTGGCATTGGTGGAAACAAAGGAGAATGAACAATAATCATAGGTTAGCTCGTGAAAATCGCGAAATTTTGACGTATGCATCTGTAACTAACATTAGATCGAAATGAAGGTGTATTTAATTGCCATTGTGTCGAAATGAAAGGAAATGAACAAAAACCATGAGTTGTAGCTCACGAAATGTGAAATTGTGAATTTTGACATACGCGCACGTAATTGCCATTAGGTCGAAAAAAACTAAAATAGACAAAAAGCACGGGTTATAATAGTCCATGAAAATCGTGAATTTTTAAAGTACACACAGTTATCATTTAGTCAAAAGAAACAAAATGGACAAAATTCATGGATAGCCCATAAAAATCACGAATTTTGAACTACTTGTAATTATGTCATTAGGTCGAAACAAATAAAAAAAAGACAAAGTTCATGGTTTGTAGCTCATGAAGTAACAAATATTGAAGTACACATAATTAATTGATGTTCTGTCAAAAAGAAAAAAAAACTAGCAAAAATCATGAGTTATATCATGAAAATCATGAATTTGAAAGTTTCCATACTTGATTGACACTGGTTTGAAACAAACAAAAATGAACGATGATCATGGGTGCCAATAAAAATCGCAAATTTTGAAGCATGCAGGCTTAATTGCCATTAATTTGAAATAAATGAAAAAAATATACAAAATGCGAGACATAACCCATGAAAATCGTTAATTTTCTAGTACGCATAATTAATTATCATTGGATCAAAACAAGCAAACATAACAAATGGTAGGTTAGCCCACAAAAATCATAAATTTTAAGGTATGTATATTTAAGTGCCATTGGGTCAAAATTAACAAAAACAGACAAAAATCATCGGCTGTAGCTCAAGACATTGTGAGTTATTAAAAATGTGTTTAATTGAAACAAATGAAATGGACGAAAAATCATGGGTAGTCCATTTGAAACTTTGAAGTGCACATACTTAATTGTTATTTGGTCAAAAGAATAAAAATAGACAAAAATCTTCGATTATAGCCCATAAAAATCGTGACGAAATGAATAAAAATGGTGGAAGATCATAGGCTAACCCATAAAAACCGTGAATTTGAAGTGCACATACTTAATTGTTGTTGAGTCGAAACAAACGTAAATGTACAAAAAATCGTAGGTGCCCATGAAAATCAAGAATTTTGAAGAACACGTACTTAAACTGCCATAAGCAAGTGAAAATAGAAAAACATAGTGAGCTACAGCCAATAAAATTCATTAAATTTCTAGTAGCATAATTAATTGTCTTTGGATTGAAAGAAGTGAAAATGAAAAAAATATGGGTGAAATAAAGAATTTTTAAGTATATATTGCTAGTTGATTTAAATGAATAAAAATGAACAAAAATCATTGATTAAATCTTATGAAATCATGAATTTTAAAATACGCGAACTTAATTACCATTGGGTCTACTAAAGGAGATTGCTAAAGAAATAGGGATCAAGAACCAAATTATTGTTCAAAGTGATGATAAAGGGGTAGGGAGACTCACCTTTAACTATATTCCCATGTTTCTTTTGACTGGTTGTTTTTAGAGATAATCTTTTGTAGTAGATTTATGTTGTTCAAAGCTAAAAAGACTCAAGCATGTCAGGTATGTTATGTAAACAATGGTTGTTGCCGAACTTTATTACTGTTAAATACCATACATTCTAAAACCCTCTACTATTCATGTTGTGCGTTAAGTGATGACTAAGTATGCTCCTTACCCTCATATGTAGTGGAGGTTTGTGATTCTCCGGTTTTTGAGAGGGTCTTTAAACGGTGGAGTTTTTTTTCTCCTTCCCTAAAATATACTTTTGAATAAGGCTTCTTGTCTTATTTTTACCTTAAAATTTTGCCATTAGGCTAAAATGAACAAAAGTGGACAAAAATTATGGGTTATATTCCATGATATCGTGAAATTTAAAGTGCGCATACTTAATTTCCATTTGGTCAAAAGGAAAATGAATAAAATTCATGAGTTATAGCTCATAAAAATCATGAATTTTAAAGTATGTGTAATTAACCGTTACTGGGTCGAAACAAACGAAAATTGATAAAGATTATGAATTACTACCTATAGAAATCCTGAATTTAAGTACACATACATAATTGCTGTCATGAGAAAACAAACGAAAATGAATAAAAAGCGTGAATTGTAGCCCATAAAAATCACAAATTTTGGAATTTTATACTTAATTAACATTATGCCGAAACGGATGAAAATGGACAATAATAAAGACTTATAGCAAGTGGAAATTGCGAAATTTTCAAGTACGTATGCTTAATTGCTATTGGATGGAAACAAATGAAAACGAACAAAAATCTTAGGCTATAACCCATGAAAATCGCTAAATTTGAAGTACATATAATTGGATTAAAACGAACGAAAATGGACAAAGTTTATGGATTAGCTCATGAAAATGAAGAATTTTGAACTTTTAAGTGCTCATACTTAATTGTCATTGGTCGAAATAAAGGAAATGAACAAAAATCATCGGTTGTAGCTTGCAAAATCGTGAATTTTGAAGTACGTGCTCTTAGTTGTCATTAAATCGAAGCAGACAAAAATGATGGGTTAATCCATGAAAATCATGAATTCTAAAGTATACATACATAATTCTCATTTGATCAAACGAATGAAAACGAACAAAAACCATGGGTTATAGACTTATAGCCCACGAAAATCACGAATTTTGAACTACATGTAAATAATTGTCATTTAGTCAGAACCAACAAAAATGGACACAAAAATAATGGGTTACAATACATGAAAATTGTGAAATTTTGAATTATGCATACTTAATTGTCATTTGATCAAGAGTGGAAAATAGACAATTCATAGGTTTACTACCCATAAAAATATCGGATTTTGAAGGTGCGTGTATTAATTGACATTGGGTCGAATTGAACGAAAATGAACAAAGATCGTGGATTATAACCCATAAAAATTGTGAATTAGAAATACACTTGCTTAATTGCTTTTGTGATTCTCCAGATTGTGATTCACCAGTTTTATAAATGGTCTTTAATGGTGATGATTTTTTTTTAATATATATTGTGAATAAGGCTCTTCACCATATTTTTACCTCAAAATAATTTGCCATTAGGTTGGATAAAACTCACAGATAATATTCCATAATAATCACGAAATTTTGAAGTATGCATATTAAATTTGCATTTGGTCAAAAGAATAAAAATGTACAAAAATCATGGGTTAGCTCATAAAAATTATGAATTTTGAAATACACATATTTAACTGTTATTGAGTTAAACAAACGAAAATTGACAAAGACTATGGGTTACAACCGATAAAAATCCTGAATTTGAAGTATGCATGTATAATTGCCATTAGAACAAAACGAAAACGGAAATAAACAAACATCAAGAGTTATAGCCCATGATAATTGAAAAATTTGAAAATCCCATACTTAAATAGAACTTCTTGCATGAGGTTTATGAGGTTACACTTAACTTTATAAAACTATTTATCTCTGTAGAGGAAAAAGGTTGTGCATATTAGGTGTTTTTCCCTCTAATCTCGATGAAACAATTGTTTTTTGTACTTCTTTTAGCTTGACTGGTCTTTTTGATGCATGGACACAAGGTTTATTTTGTTTTTAGCGGTTTATGCATGATAATTAGCTATGAATTCTATGGAATTATTAGAGTTCTTTATCCGGGAGTGGTTGATATAATGAACTCTGAGTTCATTGACCATGAATTCTATGGAATTATTAGATTTCTTTGTCCAGAAGTGGTTGATAGAATGAACTCTGAGTTCATTGACCATAATAATTATTGTTCATGTAAATCTTAATTAATTCATTTTCCTTTTTGGTTGGGCGGTTATGAGCAATTGCCAAATAAAACACACTGGATCAAATCCATGATATTGTCTCCATCTGAACATATTTCATTAGATGTTCTTTCCAGGAGTAATTTTGTAGAGGAAATTTAACAGAAGCCTCGGAAGATACATGTTTAGTTTTTAATGATGTTTGAAAAATTAGAGATAAACATTTGTTTTCTTGTTTAGTAGAAATATATATATGACAAATTTACTTTGACCATACTAGTGTTAAGACAAAATAATAGGAATTTATTTTCCAATAGTTTAAATATAGTTTTAATTAGAGGAGAAAGCGCATGATAATTCAACAACAATCAAGTCACCGAACCATTAAGATGTCACTATCCTGTTCCAATGTTTACATTCCAATAAGACAATCAAGTGCCAGAAACTCAAAGCCAGTTTACAGAAACCATGAAAACTATGGGCTAAGTAGTCGCATAAAAACAAGAGCACAAAAAAAAGTGATTTCACGTGACATTATCATAAGTCACACAACTTGGCACCTTCCCGGATACATGCCTCTGACAAATGTGTCAGAAATCCTAGCATTATAGCATATATCACTATCATTATATCAACGACGCCATAAGATCGGAATGAACAGATCATGCTTCCATAAATATCAAATTCAACGATTTAAGATGGACCTAGTTTTAGTACTAATTTGGTTATTAACGAATTTTAATGGGATCAAAATTTTATTATTATGTCTTGTGCAAACGCAAAATCGAAGCATGGAATACAAACTAATCAATAGGTATCTTATCATGCAATGACATTCTAATCATGAAACGAGGTTAAAAGAAGTTGTAACATATTCCTATAGATCATGTAGTCAGTCACTCCTGTGAGGAGATTCTCGTAACTTACTAACATAAGGATGAATTACCTGGTCTGCTACAGCGTAAAGAATTGCTATGATACATGGCAGACAGCAACAAACAGCAATACCAATGACGCATGCCAGGGCCACACAGAAAACAACAAAGAAGACATCAAATGCCAGGAAAACTATGCATAGCCTGAAAAGAAAAAAAGAATAAGATAACAATAAGGAAAAGGGGATGCAATTGGTTAAAAATCAAATAAGTTTATTCAAAATGATTTCTTTGAGACCAGTATAGTTGAGGTGCATCACGGGTCAATGCTGGGCCACCAGCAGAGACCCAATAGAATCCAATAATCCACCATATGAATGAGAACATTGTGTTTGCAGACTCCAGATGTTTAGCAACACTACAATGAAATAAGAAAACATATTAGAAAGTGCACCCAAAAGCATAACACTTAAAAGTACTAAGCAAAGGGTGGCGTGAAAGTGTAAAAGCACTTGCATAAGTGTTAAAAAACTATAAAGGACGAAAGTCCATGATTTATTCATATTAAAATTTCTGCATCAAAACCAAATAGTTGCTCCTCTTTTATATGTTAGAAGAATGTGAATGTTATGTTGTCCATTACTTATAATTTTTTAATTTGAATGTGAGAGTGACACAATAGAGTACCCTTGTGTTATGCCAATCCATATAATATGTATATAAAATGTTGAGAATTTTGCATATATATCCCTCAGCTTCCATATTTGCAAAATTGCCTCCCAATTCTCTCACATTGATTTTTTTCTACCCCTTTTACTTGACAACCTTAGTCCTTAACTGGGGAAATGTTGCAAAGCAGTTGGAAAATATTGCAAAGTCTGACATAGTGGTTCTTAAAACCCAACATTGATTAGTTGGGGGTGGGGGTAGAAAGACCCACTATGCGAGTATTTGGGGGTATTTTTGCAAAAACCAAAATTTGAGGGATAGCATTGCAAATATTGAAATTTTGAGAGATATATATGCACAATTTTGTACAGACATAGAAGATTTTGTCTCAATGAAGTATTAATGGTAAATAAGATAGCTATGTAGAGCTTGACAATCTGTATATAATTTCAAGTAAGCTTTCAGATGAGACTTTATGCTAAGTAGCACTGTGCTCTATCTCTATATTCTCCAAGCGACGTCTTTCAATTTTTTCAAGGGAATTTTCAATGTAATGCCTGTTTCAGGATGTGAACGTTCTTTCCTGACACGCCCATGTGTTTTGTTGTTTAGTTTCCCTCCCCATCTAGCAAACCAATGGTTTAAATGATAGTTGCAGGCAAAGCTATAGTAAAAGTGGTCTAGTTCAAAGAAACTATATTTGCAAATGCAAATTGCCAAATTAATCTATTAGCCAAAATTTAATGCTGTGCATATCAAATGTCTCTAATTTGTGATGGCAAACTACAAAGATAACTTCAGCACATAACAAAAATTACCAAAATCATAAATCATTAACCAAATTCGAGACTTCACCATACCTAGTTCCTTCCTCGTCTTGACTCTGCTCACTATCATATCCCCCTCCTCCTTCCTCCAAATCCCTCGGCGAGCTCGGCCCCGAACTCCCCTCCCCTCCTCTCCCCCCCTCAGTCCTCCTTTGGTTCCTCCTCCGATACTCAATACAAACACAAACCATATGAGCTCCACACTGCACCGCGTACCCAACAATCCAAAGCCTCAACGGCATCCATCGGACCTTCACATCCCTCGCTCGCCACCAAAACGCCGGCCGCCACACCACCAACAAACGCCTAAATTCCCAATATATCAAGGAACACCACCGGCGTCGAGTAGGCCCAAATCGGTCTGCCGCGTCCTCCATGCTGCCTCCCCTCGCTTGCTCTCTTCACCACCACTCGACGGCTCCTTCATCATTCCGCCGGCTGCTCCGCTCTCGCGTAGGAATCGGCGCCGCCCGGTAGGCTTAGGTCCGCCGTCCGCCGGCGCGGATGGCGCCCGCGGTCGTCGCGGGCGGCGGGGAAGGGTGCGCGCGATTCCATCGCTCGCAACCGGCGATCGGTTTCAGCGATCGGGTCGCTGACATGACAATCGATCGATCAATTGGAGAATTTTATGCGCTGGATTTGATAAACTAAGATCGATTTAGGGTTAGATCGGGATTTGGGAAACCTAAGAATTTGGGGAATTCTTTCTTCTTTTTCTATTTGATGCTTGTTTCGGCCATTTTTGGGACAAAGCGAGTGATGATTTAGTTTAGGGGGCTTTTTAGGGGACGCAAGCGATCAATGGACTGTGGGCCATGTTATGTCATAGATAGGGTGTGCTTTGGGTGTCATTAGGATTGGGTGAATGGTTTTTTTCATTGCTTGAATGAGTGAGGGTATTAGTAAGCGTTTTAGTGTAATAATGCGTCCAAGATCATTGATGGTATCCTAGAGAATCCTTGAATAATTCATATGAAGTAAAAATATGAATATTTCTTAACTAGTTAATTTTGGTTTGAGTCCTTTAGTTTAAATTCTATTTGGAGTTAAGCTCTTTTGATTTAGTAGGTACCTAGGTTTGTCTTCATGCAAGTGTCCTCATTGTTAGAATATAAATTTATAATACTGAAAAAAATCATCGTGGTTTGGGATTTTAGTGTAGCGGCAGGTGTTTAAAATGATATAATTTAGACGAGTATGCGTTTTTTATTTTCTTTTTATAGATAAAGCGTCAAAAGGGTGGTAATTTTATTTTTTAAAACCATTTAAATCATACTCTCTTTAAAATTTGTTAAGATCATACTCCCTTTAAAAGCACGAGTTCGGAAAATCTTTTTTAGACAAATATACCCCTTTATAGTTTGAACTACCTTATCTATAATCAAATTCTAATTTTCAATGGTCAATATTACCCTTCACTATTTTGAATATTTTATTTATATCTTAATCTATCCTAATCATAATCATATCTTATCCTCATCCTATGTAAACCATGTTTAGCTTAATAATTTAAAAAAACTAATATTAATAAAATATATAAAACATAAAAATGATATTAATTTGTTAAGATCATACTCCCTTTAAAAGCACGGGTTCGGAAAATATTTTTTAGACAAATATACCCCTTTATAGTTTGAACTACCTTATCTATAATCAAATTCTAATTTTCAATGGTCAATATTACCCTTCACTATTTTGAATATTTTATTTATATCTTAATCTATTCTAATCATAATCATATCTTATACTAATCCTATGTGAACCATGTTTAGCTTAACAATTTAAAAAAACTAATATTAATAAAATATATAAAACATAAAAATGATATTAATTTGTTAAGATAAAGAAATTACAAGTAGATAGCATATTATAATACATGAAGTATTGCAAAAAACCATAAAAAGTTTTAAAATTGCAGAAAAGACCCTGAAAAGTTCAAAATTATAAAACTCATCCAAATGTCTCAAAACTTAAAATAAAAAATATGAAATTAAAAATTAACACCAGTTTGCAAAAAAATTAAATTTTACAGTTAACAGCTCAATGTCTCAAAAATTATAGAAACACCCTCAAAAGTTTAAATTACAGACAAGCACATTAAAATTCTAAAATTTTAAAACTTACAAACAACACAGATGAATTCAAGAGATTACCATGATACACCTAAAATTTTTGACATTTAAATTTAAATTTTTTAATTAACACCCTCAATATCTCAAAAATTATAGAAACACCTTCAAAAGTTCAAATTATAAAAAGCCACCCTAAAATTCTAAAATTTGTAAATAAAATAAGATGAATTCAAGATATTACCCTTAGACACCTAAAAAATTAAAATTTGCCAAAATTAACCTAAAAATTTTAAAAAAAACTCCTTCAAAATTTAAAAATCGTAAAAAAAACTCTAAATTTTCAAAATTTTTAACTAGCACACATCAAATTCGTCGATTGGTAGACCGCTAAAATTTAATATTTTTCAAAATTAATCTATAGTTTTAATAATTGCAAAAGACACCCTCAAAATTTTAGAGTTACAAGAAATATACTAACATTTAAAAAATTACCACCAACACATGAAACATAGAATTTACAACTACCAAACTTAAAAGTAAATTTTTTTAAAAAACTCTTTCAAAATTTTAAAAATTATAAATCACACCCTCAAAGTTCAAAACCACAAAAATGGGCTAAAATTTTAAAACTTGGCAAAGAAAAGTGTAATTGTTTGGTATTTTTCATATATATATATATTAAAATTTCTAATTTAGGGATTTACTATCCATTTTCAGCATCTAAGAATAGTCTAAGTTGATACTGGTAAACAAAAACAATAAGAATTGATTAAAAACATCCGGTTAATGGATAAAATTTTTAAAAATATTATAGATTAAAAACTATCGGCACCATATAAATTAAAATAATTTCATATAATTTTAGTAATAAGTTGGGGTAGCTAAAATATATTCGTAACATTAATTGATAGATGTTTAAATCCATAGAAATGATAAAACACTATAATATTATACCTTAGCATTAATTGATTTTAATTTAGAAACTTTAATCTTTGACGTTAATAATATTTATAGGGTAAAAGAATACAAGGAATTACATATGGAGAAACTATTAGAATATTTAGAGATAACTTTAAAAGAATTGAGTTATTTCCATTGCAAATGGGAAAGTGATGGAAATAAATCTAAAATTCAGAAAACGTCAATGAATCACTTGAATTGGCATTAACATAAGACATATCTATTAATGAAGCACTGAATGAGTTACATTAAAAAATAATTTAATAACTTTATCCTAATCAAAGAAAAAATCTCCATGGAAGACATAAGAAAAATTAGTAAGTATTCATAAATTCCATACTGTGTTCTTCAAATTAAATATTAATATTATAATCTAAGAGAAATTAGTAATGAATAATGCAGGTATTTATTTTAGATCTTTATGAAAAATGATAAGGATAGAGCAAAGGTAATATTATTGAAATAACAGAAATTCTTATTGGATGCACATCAGAAGAATTCATTTTAGAGGAAAATAAAGAGATAGCTTCTAATTTATTTAAGTAATAAATTAGGAACACAAAGAATTTTATATATATGAAATTAATATTTATTCTCATTGAAATAGAAAAAAAATCAAAGTCTATATTTTGAGCAGTTTGTGTTGAACATCATAAGTACATTTGACTTCTTTGTAAAGTTAAATGAGATGATAAAAAATTAACGAGCCTAGAAAAGATAATAGCATAAAAATATAAAATTAGCCTGATGTCACAATTGATATAGATGATGAAGACAATACTCTAGAATTATTCGAGAAATGATAAATGATAAACCTGAAGAATGATTGATCTTAACTCAATAAAAAATAAAATAGAAGAAATAAAAACAATATTTTATGAATATTTTATAGAATAGTTTAATTATTTTGAATGAAATTAGGAATCTTTAGAAGAGAGTTTCATGAATTTTTTTTCAGTACTTTTATATTCTTATGTGGATGTTTTTATCATATAAAAGTATACTAGAGTTAGTATTAATCTTTAATTTATATTTTTTTATGAAATCTATCAATGATTAGGAATAAACTTCATATTCTCTTTTGCATCGTTTTAACATACTTTAAATCAATCATTTTGCCATATTAGTTTTAAATATTCACCTTCCTTGTATAACACTATTTTAATATTTTTCACTTTGTAATGCTATACTTTCTCAAATAAAGCTTAGTTTCATATCGGTCAAAAATAATATGAAAATTCAAATTATTTTTAAATTATATTTGTTTTTTGTCAATTCAAATATCAACATGAAAATTTAAATTGGGTGTATCCCATTTAAACAAACATAAAAAAATAATCAGGATGTAAGAGTTTAAAGAAAAAAATGAGCACAAACTGCCAAAAATACTCATGGTATTAAATCACGTGCATTGCACGTGTGTAAAAACTAGTACCATGTAAAAGAGGATGATATTGAAACAAGGATGAGTTGTAATTTGTAAAGGAAGAAAACGGAAAGAGAACTGAACGAACAGGAAGGCCTCTTGTCATTAACATTTTGGATATAATTGTTCTAAAAAAAAAGTTTGCTCAATAGTTTGTTAAGATACTTGGAATTTCAGAATTGACATATACAAATGAATTGTTTTTCAACCAATAATACTTGTGATTAAATTTTAGAATATTTAGCACAAAATTTATTCTTTAAACAGATTTTCTCTTGATCTGTGGTAAATATTCATAGCTGGCTATTTAATTATGCCCTTTTCTAAATTTAATCTTTTGTTTTCCTTCTCTTAGCATTAGCTTATGATTTCTGTATCACTTTGAAGCAAGCTCATCACATCAATATTATCTTGCGTCTGAACATTACATGAAGTTTCAAATTTTGTAATTTGATGCAGGAGTTAGCAGCAGAACATTTAGTTGGATTTTCACAAAATGAAGCTTAAAGAGAAAAAAGGTTGGTTTAGCTGACAGAGAATTGCAATAAAATCTGCTCTGCTGTTTCATCCAGCAACTGATGCGTAGGCAATGGAGAAGAAACTGGACAACAAAATTCACAAGCAAAAATCTCAACTGAAACAAAGTCATCTTCTCTGTACATAGTCCTTCAAATGAAACCTGTATGAATTCTATACTCACAAAACGTTTCTAAAGTTATCAACAAATTGTTATTTATAAACTATAACACCCTACCTACGAACCTTCTGTGTTACTTATAAACGAATCATCTACGTACACAACCAAAAAGAAACTGTATACTGTTTGATTTAATTCTGTCAAAGGGATTCCTAAGAAACTGCTAGCATACAATTCTGACTGAACTGAGATCTCTGAGGAGCATGTAGGCATTTGTACTCAGGAAGCTCAATCTCCGGTATTTGAGTGTGATCTATTTTAATAAAGGAGACTATTCCATTTCTACAGAGAGGACATGGAATTGAACCCGGTGGTCCTGCTACTTCTGATGTTACGTTGCCCGTCGAGCAAAGGTAGAGTGCACATTTTACACAGAGTTCATGCTCACAACCTGTGAACATTGAAACAATCCATTTTCAAATTTTGAATACCTTCCAATTTGCTTACAAGTATATGAAGAAAGAACGATATTAGACTAAAGCGCATTTATCCTCGTAACATTTTTTTTTCCAGAAAGATAAGAATGTTACATTTGACAGACATCACCTTATCAAGGAATAGGATCACAAGGATTCCGGTATTTGAGTATAATCGATGGTAAAAAGATATTTATATATAGAAGAAAAGAGCAGCGAATTCTACATGCATGTACATAAAAATAAGATCATAATAAAAGAGTACATGAGAGCCTACAAACCTTGAGCAGCAACAGAGCAGGCATTTTCGAGGCAAACAGCACAAAGATCATTTTCATCAGAGGAGGCAGTTAACGATCGAAATCGACACTCCCTGCAGATATTTTTTATGACGGTTACACCAATAAAATTAGCTAACAGATAGTTAAATAATAACTGTACGCTAAATGGCTACATCCTAAAGCTTTTGCTTCAGTTCAGTAAGTTTCAGCAAAAAAGCCAAATGTATTGAAAAGGGTGTCACACAAGGTAACACCTTTAGCTACTCAAGAGTTGTATTAAGCAAGCTGTATTTGTGCTTAACTAGTAAAAAAAGAGGGAAAAAGGAAAACAAAAGATGTGGTCCTGTTTGAGTTTTGAAAGCACAGGTTTTTCATCCAACATATGCCTTCGGTTTGAAAAGCAAAACAAATTCGCTTTTCTTAACAATGCCTCAAATCTCCAAAACTATCTTGACAAAGAAAGTATATAACAGGCATCGTTAAGGTAAAAGATATATTTGAGAACAAATTGAGGCACTGCATGTAGACAAGTTTTTGATCATCTTTTTACCTTGCTAAATTCAGAATACTCCGCAGAGGCAATGATAGATAACTTGATGGAGGGAATTTTGCTATTTTCAAGTCAGAATAAGGAGATAACAACGGATCTAGGAAGTGGTGCCTCCATACTTTAGCAACATCAACAGGATGCCACCTACAAGTTTAAATCAAAACAAAAATGTATTTATAAGAGATTTGGAACAACTCTATACCACCTACTTAAATATGGCCTGCTTAAATACTAAAAAGAAGTCCATAAAGTTTCTTAGATTTTACCCATTGAAATTCAGTGCAGATCTACAAGCACCTCTCGCAAGAAGAACCTGCCACAAAACAACATATAAAATTTAGCAGGCACTACAAAGCATGACCAACAATCGAAGTTATAACTATTAACAATAAAGATTGCAAGGTACTTTGCCTGACAACATTTAAGGTCCCCTCCACACGCAGCGAAATGCAAAGGGGTGCTTCCAGCTCCTGCCAAAATAACATCAAAGTCACAAAATGCTCTAAAGGAT